GCAAGTCGATGCTCAGGACAGGAACCCAACTTGGACCCCGGACCCATTTCGCAGCGAAATCTTTACCCCAGCCCCAGGTTGGTGTCGTGGTGTCACAGCACCGGAACTTTGCCCAAAGACCACTCAGCTCGACGAGCTTTGCTCATGCTGAGTGGGGAACGGCCCCAGAAAGCAAGAAGATACCCCATTCGTTGTTCGCTAAGCCTAGGCAGAACTCATTGCTTATGTTTCATTTCCAGAACTATGAAACCTTGCGTTTCTTGCGAGGCGCTTCGGAAGCGGGAGAGGGATCCGGGACCCCGTCGCCCTTTGGATGATCAACCGCAGTACTAGAAGCGGCCAAATCCGCCGAGGAATGAGTCTTGGCCTCGTGCCAGGACCACAGAAACTCGAGAACTTCCGCCAAAGCTGAGTCGTATGTTCTGGTTGCACGACCTTGCACTGTTTGCTCACTGCTGAGTGGCCGGAATGCACGGGAGGTGCTGGAACGGCCCCTCCAAGTCTCATCAGCGGGGAGATGTCCCTGTATGAAAGGCGAGGCGTTGTCAGGTGTGTGCATGGCGAGCCTGCACCTGTCCGGAATCTTCTCCTTGGCGACATCGGGCCTATCGTGAACACCACGATCGGCCTCCGTCCAAGGAACGACTCCGCCGCTCGCAGTCGCAGGGGAGGGCCGCTTTGTTTCGGCCGGAGCGGGCTCAGCGGGCTCCTGCTCGGACGGTCCGTGTCCTGCTGCTTCCTGAGCGGCCTTCTCCGGCATTCCGGACTTGTTCGGCGTCTCCTGAGCTTCCGTCTCTTCCAGCTTCTGCAAGAGTTTGCTCAAGATCTTGGCTTCGCAGACTGTGTCCACACCCAAAACCGGTTCGCCTTCTTGCACCGCATCCTCTTCGTCCTCGGCCTCCTCCTCCTTGCCTTTGGACTTGAACGTCCGCAAGATCTCGTCCATCTGTTCCTTGGTATAAGCCAGGTGGGCCAGAACGGCCTCGGCACAGCTCTTCTTCGTAGACTTCGGCCGAACATTGCAGAAGCTGCAGAGCTGCCTCAGGCAATTGAACGACAGGCCTTGGTTCTGGTTGCAGGGAAGCTCGGGCCCAAAATCAAAAGGGAAGCTTATGAACAAATCTGAGCATAGCCATCCAAAAGTGTTAATCTTTGGCCCAGCAACGGGAAGCATAGTTTTGCAGGGCATGGTTCATCAAAGGCGTCGGGGTCCCCAGCCTCAGAACCATCTTGCCGCCCTGCAGCACTGGAACGGCCCCACAAACGTTGGAATCCTCCAACTTCGGTGGAGAAACGTCCTGAAAGGCGTCTCACTGCAGTTTCCATGCATGTGCCGTTTTATGTCGCAAAGTAGACTGCCGACGTTTGTTTCTTTGCTAGATTTACATCTAGGTTGCCACATGGAGCACCTTCCTATTTCGCACCGGAGGCAGACAACTTGTCTTTCTTCCAGCGATACCCCCAAAAGTCCTGCAAATAGCATTCGTTTGTGGGAACGACCGCCACCATCTCGCGACCGCCGTCGAAGGACTCCTCGTGCACTTTGAGGGGCCACACTCTCAAGAGAACGTAGGGAGCGTCCACGACCAACCAGTAGTCGCGGCCGGCGTTCAGCACCTTTCGTTGCAAAGACAAGAAAAAGCATCTTGAAGCAAATCTTCTCACTGGTCACCAGTCTTCCTTCAACATAACAGGTCAAATTAGTTTTTTTTTTTTTTTTTGATCGACAAGACAGGCGCCTGCCCGGGTCTGGACAACTCTGCAAGCCATGCGTCTGACAGATCTCCTTCCTTCCGCTTGAACATGTTCCAGAGGTTGATGCATTTCCGTGTGAGGAAATAAGGGCTGACAGTCGCCTCACGTACCATGCCCGAAAAGAAAGAGAGTCCAGTCTCAGGTCCTGTGCTCCGAGCGGCCGTGTAGACACTGGCCTTCACAGTCTGCTTCACCGGGATCGAGTGGATCTGCGAAGGAGCGACCTCGGCCACCTGGAACCCGCCGTCTCCACCGAACCTCTCGCTGCAAGCCTTCACGGCTTGAGCCTGCAGCTGCGATGGAGCGGCCTCTCCTCCGCCCTTCTTCCTTTCGGCCTTCCGGAGCGACCGAAAGGCGTCTTCGCATCCCAGCGTGGAGCTCGGAGAGGCCTGGTAGGCCTTGATGAGCTGCCGGACCTCCTCGCACAGGCGGAAGTCCCTTTCCTCCGCAAAGGTCATGACTTCCCGGTAGACTCGCCACCGCAACCAGATGACCTGCGACACTGGAAAGGATCCATGAGCATTCGGAGCGGCCTCTTCCTGGCGGAGCAGGAACGTCCACTCGTCCTTCATCTCCATGAGCGTCCGGGCTGCCACGTGATCATCGCTGTCGCACACCAGAAAGAACCGCCATGGGAACGACCCGTAGAGGAGCCCGAACTCTGCCAGCCGCCTCAGAGTGGCCACGGTGTGCTTGAAATGCACATTCAGCAATGAAGGAACGTCCTCGGGATCCACGTTCCACACGATGTCTTCGAGATGATGGCGGTCCAAGGCGGATTGCATGATAGACAAGACCAAGTTGGGCCACTCCAGAGCGATGTACCGTTTCATGCGAGCGGCCCCCTCGGGTGTCTTCTCGACCTGCACCTGTTCGTAGGCAACATTGTGCATCGTTTCCATGCACTGACAGCGGCGTAAACAAACCGGAGCAAAGGATCCCTGCTGCACACACACACACACCCACCCACCCACACTTCTTCATGAGCAAGGCGGGATTGCAACAGAAGGCTTGCTTTTAGATTCTATGCTTCTGCTGGCTGTTGGCGTAAAGCCTGACTGCGGGGGTCGCTGCGGCTTTTTCTCGAACCAGTCAAAGAGAGTCAAAGAAGGTACTGATTTTTGGACTGTGCCTCAACACAGTCAGGAAGTCACGACAGAGCAAGGTGCGATTGCCGTATTTTCTCAGTCTGGCACTCGAAGATAACAAGGGCGTGTCTTCCAACACGTATCGCAGCGGAAAAAAATTCTGCCTTGCAAATTCCGAAGGCGGAAACCCTGCCATCCCCTCCAGCCTGGAGCAGACAACCTGAAAACCCAACAGGTTTCATTTGTCAAGAAGAAATAAAAATACATGTCCCAAAACACGGCACCTCTGTTGCTTGGAACGTGCGGAACGGCCGCAAGACGTGGAAAGCAGACTTGCCGTAGGCGAAAGAGAGAGGCCGAAGCAAGACCTCGGAGGCAACAGCAGATCAGGAAGCGAACCGATTATTTGTCAGACATTCCGAAAACCTGCCAAGTTCTGTGTCCAAGGCACCTTGATGACCTGAGGGCCAAGAGCCTTGTCATCGTCCGTGCGAGCGGCCAGGCAGTGCAGCGGATTCTTGCCTTCCAGAACGTCCGCATAGAGCATGAAAAAGAGCCGCAAGCGCCACTCTTTGCGGAGCCGCCCGAAGGAATCCACATAATCGGCCCATCTCCCGGAACTATGGTCTGACCCTGTGCCCAGATGACCCTTGGCGTACTTGACGAGAACGTCCTTCACTGCCTCGAGAGGAGAGGCCGGGTCCATCCCCAAATCGTGGAGAATGCCGGGAGCGACCATTTGCACCAGCCGGTGCGTGCACGGGATCGCCTCCACAAGCTCCCTCGCCTCCCGCAACCGTCGGCCGAAGGCCGAGGTCTTCCACGGAGCCTTGTCGTACTTCATGATCAGGAGCACCTGCTTCTTGGAGAGAGCGACCTCGGGAACGTCTTGAGCGGCCAAACATTCTTCGCGGTGGAGCTTATGCATGGAATCTCTATGGATCATGATGGAGAGGCCGTGATTGGCCATCTGAACGGCCATGCTTGTGTCGCCTTCGTCTTGCAAGCAGCTGAGCCGAAGGCAGCTGTCGAACCCCACATGATCCGTCGATTGCCATGTTGCAGCTTTTGTCTGAGCATGCCAAAGATAAGCTCGCTTGAGCCCGTCTTTCTGAACATAATGCCGGGTCTCGCCCTCCTTGACTGGCCTGAGCTTCCGAGCCGGAAGAGCGTCCGACAACCGGAACCGAACGAGCTGGTGCAGCGAGTGGTTCAAGGCCAACATCTTCTGTCTGGTGGACACTTTTTCGTCCTTACAGAGATTTTTTCGAAGGCTCTTTGGATTCTGAGAGGCCACATCTCCCAGGGCCTCGACTGTCTCCAAGTTTTCTTGGATCGTCGTCTCTTTGGTGGTCTTCAGTGCCGGCAGCAAGCTCAGAGGACAAGTGATAATCAAGCCATCACAAGAGCAGTGGATGGTCAGGACATTGTGAGTGGCCACGGACGATGCATCTTCGTACCATGTCAAGTGTCGGAAGACCTGTTTCTGAAGCCGCTCCAACAGGAGAGTTGCAGAGCTTGCAAAATATGCCGTCACAAATTGATCCGCTGCGACCCCTTGAAGGTTGCGGGATTTCGTGCCTGGAAGTTTATCCGGCACGATGTCCTTGTTATCTTTGTTCTGCATGCCTGTTATAAATCCGCTGCCACGTGCAAGAAATCGAGTCAAGAGCTGTTCTCGAACAAGGTTGGCCGTGCGGCTCGCATTGCCGCTGGAATACGGAGATTGGCCGTCCATATCCTCGGAGAGTCCAGGGCTTGTGTGGAGCTTGATGGAACCATCTGCACAGCTCCTCTCGACTGCCTGTGCGAGGATGTGGAGGAGCCGCTTCTGCACCCGCTCAATCGGGATGCACTGCAATGCTTCCTCTGGCTGCAGCCTAAACATGAAGAACCAAACATCAGCAATTGCGACTTTGCCCCGGTAGTTGGATCTGGAGTGACCCAGTGCCAAGGCACTTTCCCACCTGAATGCAAGGGCAAAAAGAAGGTGAGGCCGTGTCAAAGGAGTTTAAGCCAACCCCTGGCCTTTTGTTCAAGATTCGCGTAGCATCTGCTCCGAACTTCTTGAAGAACTTTTTGATGCTGACACATCCCTCCTGAACCTGCAAGCTGCAGTCCGGCAGGAGGGCCAAGCAATCCATCTTGACCAGGGAGAAAATCTTTCGCAAGAATCCAATGATGTTCTTCTGTGTCTCGAGGCTAAGGCCACGAATGACAGTCAACATAGCGAACACGAGCAGCAAACCCAGCGAGCTAGAACAATCGTGTTTGACACCAGGCAGCATGTAAACTGATTCATGCTCGCCCTTGTATGTGTCTGTTCTTACCAAGTGGCGCATGGAAATTTCCCATCGCTGCGAAGCCTCCGAGAAAAGGCCTTTGTGTAGGTTCTTTCCGAACCATGCATAGTAGCTCACGGACATGTCCAGAATCCGCCAAACGTCTGCCATGCAGACCAAATACTCGTAGCCCTGACAGTGGTGCTTGGCAGTAGGAACGACCTCGGGATGCTATGAGGAAAAGCAAGACATAATACCAGGAATCTCGGAGCTCTCCAGGCCTCGCAGCCCTAAAACTGAGACAAATTACACCTAGTGCAGCAAGGTACCTTGACGAATGTCAGAGCGATCGGATGCCGCAGAAAAACCAGCGAGTGCTGCACGACGTCCGGGTCACCGGCAGCAGTCTTCTCAGCGATCTTTGCGATCTCCTGATCCAGCAGGCTCAGGGCTGGAGCTTCCCTCTCCCCCTCGTCCGGCGGCAAGGGGAAGTCGACGGCTAGCCGGATCTCCCTGACACATTCATCCAGGATCGGAGCAAGAGGAGGTTGATTGTCCAGAGTGGACAGCGGACGAGCATTCTTTGCCGCGAACTGCAAGGTGACCACGAGCTTCTGCAGTTTTTCAGGCTCGGCCCTCTTTGCAAAAAACAGAGACAAGATCTTTTGTCGCGGCTGCTCCCCTTGGGCCGGCTCAACCTCCATTTTTGGCAGGATTGGCTGTGTTATATCAATTCTACTTACACATTCTGATGTTATATGGGACAATTGCTCATGACCTGCTTGGACTGTACCATTATCATTTCAACATGGCAAAGACTCATGTGTCGAAGCCTCCGCTTCAAGTTGTTCGCTTGCATGCGAGCGAATCGACTGCAGTGTCTCTATGAGCCATTCATGTTTCGAGGCGAAAACAGGAAGTACTGCTGCAACGAGGAGGGGGGTGGCCAAGGAGGATTGTATTGTCCACTGGGGCAAAAGACTTCTTGCTTCTATAACACTCCACAGGTTCTAGAGCCCTCCCACTGAATCTAAGGCGACAAGTCTCTCGAATCTGCAGAGGCCTCGCTAGAGACCAGGTCGGAGACACGTCCACATCGATTTTGTTTGCCGACCTTAAGTGCGGATGCCCATGCATCCCATGAATGCACGGATCAAGAACAGTATGCACTACTCCTTCACAGGATGCAGGAACCTACGTGAAGGGACCAACAACAGGTCAGAATAGACACAAGCCTAAGTTTTGTCGAGGACAATGTGTTGCATGCACAACCAGAAGCAAGGCTACCATTGTTCCATAAGAGAGTCGCTCTCTCATACAAAACCCCGAGCAAACATGGTACAATATGAGACTGTAAGCTGGGCTCCACACAACGGAATTGTGCTCTGTCAGACAAGCTCTAGATTAAGCCTGTCCTGTTCCTGCCTAAGCCAACCTGGGCTGGCTGGTAAAGTCAAATGGCCCCAATCCCAAAGTGGTGGAATTCCGCAGCTTCAGAACCCACAACCCGTAACTCAGGAATCAGCAGGGAACCGGAGCGGCCTGACCAAATCGTCCGGCGAGGGTGTGCGATGCGTGGCAGTCGGACCTCGGCAAAGACTGCAGCCCCGGGACTTCTGCCTAAACTCAGCTCATCTGGCTCTGCACAACCGACAATTCCTTCTGCTGGTTTCCACAAGTGAGGAGGTCTTCTCAGGAGTTTCCACAAGTCATACAGTCATCTCGTGTGGTTCATTTTTTTTTTCGTCTGTTCGGTTTTCAAAAAACAAACGAGAAGGCACGCAGTCGCGGAGAAGACCACATGGTGCGTTTGTGGTGTAAACAAGCCATCAGGTCTTCTCCCGGTGACGTGGTCTTCTCAATTATTTTAGCCGGCCCCGAAAAAAAAAATCTATCGAGAAGGCACGCAGCAGCGGAGAAGACCCGCAGCAGCGGAGAAAACCCGCAGACCCGCAGGAATTCTTTTTTGCACGTGTGTCGCTGACAGGCCCTCAGTTAGTCGAACCCACCACTACAGACCAGGGTCATCCAAAATCTCCCGAACACCAGAAGAGAACGGCCGATGTTTAGCACCGACGACCTAGAGGGAGAGCCCAGATGGCGGGCGCTTCACAATCGCCTCAGCAAGAGCTGTGACAACCAAGCTCTCAGGACTGGCCGGGCTTGGTGGACATGGCGTCCAGAACGGCCTGGCACATCGCCTGCCCAGATGGAACAAAGGTGAGGACACTGCTCCGGAATGATTGTAGGACACAGGTCTTGCCTCGTCAGCTAGCATCTTCTCAAAGAGATCGCTGGCACTTCGGACTCCTTGAGCAGCCAAACGTTCGCGGACATCAGGAAGTGCCTGGGCCGAGTTTGCAACAGCATGCACCTCTGGAATTTCTAACCCGGAAGATCACAGCTGCACTGAGCTTCAAGTCGAGATTCGGAGTCCTGAGCGGCCTGAGCGGGAACGGCGGGAGCGGGAACGGCCGGAGCGGGAACGGCCGGAGCGGGAACGGCGGGCACCAACTGCTGAAACTTCGGATCTGCCCACAGGTCGGAATCATCCGGTGGGATTCCGACCTGTGGGCCACCGCCGGGCAAGACTTGTGTCGTTGAGCTCTCATCTGAGCCCTCTTCGTCGTTATCGTCCCCGTCGTCGTCATCGTCGCTATCCTCTTTCTCCACTGTGGATTCCTCGTCAGGATTGCCCTTGGATCCCTTGGATCGGCGCCTCTTCTTTTTGGCGGGGCCACCGTCCCCCGTCTCCGAGTCTCTGCGCTGATCGGCCTTTGGCCCTTTCGACATGACCTTGGCTTCGACCTTTTCCAGGTCATCCTTCGCATCTCGCTTGAGCTTCTCAATCAAAGACTGCACTTGCTCGGGAAAGCGCTTGGATCCCTTGACATTGTCCCGAATCCTCGGGAAGAGACTCTTCCTCAACTGAACGACCGTTTGGAACTGAAGCACCGTGTTCTTGCGGCTCTTGCTCAGCAACTTCCTCGGGACACAGAGAAGACTGGGATTCATAGTGACGGACAAAATTACACGGTTGAACGTCGATGCAACCCAGATGCTCCAGAACGGCCAGAATCCTGTCCTTCCATTTCTTCTCCGCCAGGATAAAGACCTGTTGAGCCTCTACAAAGATCTTCTTCGCATCGACGTTGTGGGGGTCTTTCTTGGAGGCCTTCTTCGGTGGCTGCAAGCCCTTCATGTTCTTCTGTGCAAGCGACCGGGCTTCTCCGCCAAGCTCGTGAAAGTCCATGATTGTTAGAGTGCCCAAAGATTTGTGTGACTCCGCCATCAAGAAGATTAACTGCTCCTCAATGCAAGAACATATCGCACAACAACAGTCTCAGGGAATGAAGATGCTTCAAAGGATGTCTGCTGCAGCTTATCCATGCAACCCAGGAACACAGGTCATGTTCTCGAAAGACACCATGTCTTTCAGCTTCAAATCTTTGCCTTTCAGACCCAACTGCAGCTTCAGCTCCTCCATGATGGAATCCTGAGTCATCTCGTCCGGCTCCGAATCAGAACGGCCTGAATCTGACTCCGAATTGGAGTCTTCCTGGCTGCTGCTACTGCTGGAGTTCTTCTTGGATTTTTTCTTTTTCTTGGCAGTCTTCTTCGACTTTTTCTTCTTCTTCTTGTCCTTATTCATGAGTCTCTCTCTGGCCCTCTTGCTCGCCAGAATCCCGGCGGCCATATCCTCCTGAATCGAGAATGCATGGGACTGCAAATAGGAAGCAGCTCAAAACAGAATCCGACCATGCCCGCCTTCATGCGATCAACACTGGAATCCAGGGCACTCATGAGCTCCGGTTTTTCCTTGCCCGGACTGCCCGCATTGGGGGAGGAAGCGACTGATGCCAGCGAGGCATTCGTGTTCATTCGCCGCATGGCGCTTGCAAGGATCAAAGCCGATATGCTCTCGAAGCACGGCAAGGATGCATTGAATGCAAAGCAGCAAAATGGAAGACGGAATAACAAGGCCGCATGCAGCACACAGGGTATACACCGTTGGCCGACCCTCCAAAGCCTGATGCAAGAATGCGTGTGGATGGTCTGTTGCGGAGGCAGCTGCAGTTTGTGCGTCTTTTTCTCGTGCTTCGCAGGACGAAAGTCCCCATATATCCTGCTTGGCTTTGATACGGAATCGACCGGCAGCAGACACCGAGCGGCCGAACTCGGAAATCACAGTCAGGCCTGTATGTCTATGTGTGAGTGGCCCAGCAGTGCCGCACTAACTCTCACACCGCACAAAGGCCATGCGACCCGGTTCTTGCTAACTTGAGGCCGCAGACGACAGTAAGTGAACTTTATCGGCGAAGTGCTTGTCGCTGGTGGGATAGGCCGATTGTCCAGGAACATCAGGAATCATTCAAGGCAGGTTTGTCCTGCAGAAGCGGTCGAGGCGAACAAGACACGGTCACAACAGTAAAAGAAGGGCCTAACTCTTGCATGAATGAAAACAGGGGGTCACTGAAGGAAGGAGGCGGATCCTGGTCGTCGCCAGTGAGTCGCCTGACTTCCGGCACTGCCTTCCTCAAGTCCTCCATGGCCGTGCTCATGAAGTCTTTGGTGCGGCCGACAAAGTCCATCTGAGCACGTCGCAAGGCTGTCGCATCCTGAGCAATTTCTTCTGCCTGAGGGATGAGATCGTCCATCAGTGAAGCCTGTGAGCACAACCCCTTCTCGCAAGCAGCAGGATCGATACTGGTTAATTTCGGAACCAACAAGTGTGCCGAGACACGAGGCTCTGGTATCTATCGGAATTGGACTTGCTCTTCAGAACTTGGACCGACGTGGACAAGAAGTGCGGCAACTTCATCAACCTGGCGACACCGGCCAAAGAACAATGGACCAGCAATTCAAGTCGGACGGAAGCGAGGCCTTCGCATGTCTTCGTCCAGATTCTCAGGATCGACAGGTTTGGGGTCCTCAGAAAGGAGGAACGAAAGAATTCTGCGGGGGGAGAAGCTCCAACCTTAGCGGCCCATCGTCCTGAGCGGCCAAATATTTATTTCCCAGAATGTAGATGAGAGCGTCCGGCGATAGTTCTGGCTTGTCCTGTAAGCTTCTTGCAGCATGTTGTTGTTTCTCACATGAATATTCAGAAATGCGACTCTTGGATTGGGGGTGTCCTCTATCGGCTCCGTCTTGACGATTGGCTGCTCCATCTTGGGCTCCTTCTTGACAGGGGTCTGGTTCCGATGTGTACAGACCTGAACCGAAGCAGGCCAGCAAAGATGGAACTCGACGGCCGGGCATGCAGAGGAAGAAATGCAGCCGAGGTGCTCTGCCATATAGTCGACAAGTGGAGCAGCTTTTGTGTCTGTCGCCCTTTCGAGAGTCCTTTGGCGGCGTCTCTGCATCCAAAGTGACCGCTTTGCTCTTGGCTTTCAGGGGAGTGGCGAACTTGCTCTTGACCATCTGAGACCTCAGCTGTGGCAAGGCCATGTCCGGGGGCCCTGTGGACGTGGCATTTGCTGACAAATGTACTTCAAGGCTTAAGGCTTTGGGTTGGAAGTTTTCAATCGTTTCTAGCTCGCTCGTTGTGCAGCTTCTGGTCTGGAGAACTTTGCGGGCCCCAGCAAATCCTGTTTCTCATAATTCTGCTCGGATTGGGTCTGGCGAGCTTAGGGATCTTACTCCATCAGCTCAGAATGAAGCCATCGGCCGGGTCAGTCGCCGAGAATTTATGTTTGTTAGC